CGGCACTCGCTCAGCGCTGACCCTCCGGCAGCGCGGCACTCGCTCAGGATCACACTGGATATGCCAGTCTCATGTTGATGGGCATGTCTCCTATTTTGGATCTGGTCTGTACTGTTAACTTGTCACCTTCTCCTTCAGGTCTCACGGCGAATGGGTACAATGAGCTCCATGTCAGGGGCTGATGACACGGTTTACTTGGAGTATCATCGGACTAAGAGTTTTGGCAAGAACATCCACCCTCTCTTCAAACGTTTCAGGAAATGAGTCGGTGCCATTTCATTGTGTGGGAAGCCATCTGCACAGGGTAATAGGTGGTACATGGACTGGCCTGTGTTTCATAACCGTGAGCCATATCTGCTCAGGGATTTTTCTGGGGGTATTTATTATGATGGCTATTAGCTCGAGAGTCATTTGAATTATTAAATTGTCTTTTTCTAAATGTTGGTGCTTTATTGAATTCTCTGCCCTTCCTAATTCCTGATAAGTTCTTTGCTGTGTCGATCTCGCTTTGTGTCATTCTCCCAATCCTCTGGGGGAAGACAGTACTCAGGCAGTTAGTTGCAGTCTCACCACCGAGGATTTTATAGAGTCACACAGCATGGAAACTAAAGCTTCGGTCTAACCAGTCCATGCTGACCATTATCCCAAACTAAACTAGTCTCAACTGACAGCGCTTGGCCCATATCCCTCCAAACATTTCCTATTCATGAACTTATCCAAATGTCTTTTAAACATTGTAATTGTATCCGCATCCACCACTTCCCCAGGAAGTTCATTCCACACACGAACCACTCTGTGTAAAAAAAATTGCCGCTTGTGTCTTTTTTAAAACTTCTTCCTCTCACCTTAAAAATATGCCCCCTAGCCTTGAAATACCCCACCTTACGGAAAAGACACCTGTCATTCACCCTGTCTATACCCCTCATGATTTTATAACCTTCGTAAGGTCACCCCTGAACTTTCTATGCTCCAGTAAGAAAGGTCCCAGCCTATCCAGTCTCTCCCTTTTATTTAAAGCCTCCAGTCCCGGCAACATCCTGGTAAATTTTTTCTGAACCCTCTCCAATTTAATAACATCCTTCCTATAACAGGGTGACACTGATGCTAACTAGCAACAGTGTGTACCATCTATAAGACGCACTGCAGAAATTCATCAAGACTCCTTAGACAGCACCTTCCAAACCCAGGACCACTTCCATCTAGAAGGACAAGGGCAGCAGACATATGGGAACACCACCCCCTCCAAGTTTCCCTTGAAGTCACGCACCATTCTGACTTGGCAAAAATTCTGATGAATGCAAGATGAAAAGCTTCAACAAAACATGTTTTATTTCAGCAATATTCGAGTTTTTTTAATAATCAAGTAACTATCCAACCCTCAATCTTCCACACTCTATAGAAAATTAGTTTGTGCTGTGTCCCCATTTGTCCTCTTGTCTATTGGCACTTAAATTTTAAACTTTTCAGTCTTATTCCTTTAACATTTATTGAGTGAGAATTGCTTTAAAAGTCTGTTGCACATAAACCAATGGAAGTTGCACAGATTTCAACTGACTAATTGGCAATACTGGGTGATGGTGCATCTAGTAGATGATCCTGCGATTGTTCACAATTTTGAAGGAAGTTTTCCAGCGAGGAAATTAGCCAGAACAGTGGAGTTCCGGCTTTCAGGAGCAGGCGGCCAGCGGTCGTGTTCTGAGGACAGTTAGAAAGTGACGTTGGAAGATGAGAATCTTTTCCCCATGACTACCCAGTGCTCGAGTAAATATAGTCACCGATGTCCTACCAGAACAGAGGGCTGCTCTCTCAATAGAGCCAACTGGTGGGGGTTTAACCTGAGGGTCCCCACACCTCAAGGAAGGGGATAGATTGAGGAGAGTCCTTCATGTTAACCTCAGCTGGTGCGGGAATTGAACCTATGTTGTTGGCATTGCTCATATTGCAAATCAACCGCTCAGCCAATGGCACTGAACTGACCTACTCCACAAAAGTTACCCAATCAGGTACTAGTTAGTCACTGTTGTCATACACAAGTCTCCTGCAAACAGCAATGAGAGAAATCCCCAGCAAGATCTGTTCAGGGATGAATGTTGGCTCAGGAAACTCGATAACTCCTCAGCTTTTCTCTGACTACAGACATTGAAATGTTTTATATCCACTCCACACTGCAGGTGAGGCAATGGTTTGCACCTGAAGGATAGCACTGATAGTGACACATAATGCTGTGAGGGTCAGCCTGGGGTACAGGCTCAAATTTTGGCAATGGAGCACACAACCTTCTGGCTCAGCAGTGACATTACAACCTCCTGAGCCAAGCACATCAAACAATGACTTTGACTTTGACTTCCCATCGTTGCCCCACTGCAACCAGCTCCACTCATGAAGGACTGACCCACTGAGGGGAGGCAGTCCTCGGCTGATACCAGTGCATTGACAGAACGATGGACAAGTCAGTTGGTGAGATTGAGGCTCAACTGTGGTGCCCACTGTTGTTGAATAGCCTGTGGCCATTCTCTGTTCAGCATGAAGGAGTGGCATAGTGCCTTACAGAAAGAGCCAGTGCAAGTTCATCCTAGTGATACTGGGTGTCGGAAGGCAGACGGGTGAGTGAGTGGACAGTTTGAATGTTGAGATGGTGTGGTCCTTACCAGGTATCTCCCATGGGCTCTGGTACAGGCTTTCCCCAGCGTCGACCTTCACAGTCTCCCCAGTCATGAAGGAGGCTGCGGGAGAAAGCAGGAAGCAAACAACAGAGGAAATCTGGAGTTGGAGAGGGGAGAGAAAAGCAAAGAACGTGAGGAATAGTGAGAGATTGATAGAGTGGACCATCAGTCACAATAACAGAATGATTTTCAGGAAGAGTCTGCTAAATCCTGCACAGAAGTGTTTAAAGTGGTGAAAGGCTAGAACTTACCAGACAGAAACTTTTAAAAAATTAATTCACAGGGATGTCAGTGTCACTAGCTAAGCCTTCCTCTCATTGCCCTTTGATGAGTTACCTTCTGGAACTGCTGTTGTTTAGAAGTTGAGGGACTATACAAAATGACTGTAAGCTATTTCAAAATAGAGGGCAGGATAAACCTACACACACTGTACAGGTGAGGACAGAACTGTCACTGTATAACTCTTGCTTACAGGGCTGGTGGGGACGGATCTGTCACTGCGTAACAGTGGGGTGCGGTACTGGTGGGGACAGACCTGCTGTATAATTCAGTAGAATCATGTCTGATCTGATTGTAACCTCAAATCCACATTCCTGTATACCCCTGATAACCTCTCACCTGCTTACTGAACAAGAATTGATTCACCTCTGCCTTAAAAATATTCACACAGTCTACTTCCACCACCTTTTCCAGGAAAAGAGTTTGCAGAAACTCTCAACCCTGTGAGAGAATTCAACATTCCCTCCTCTGTTTTAAATGGACAATCCTTGGTTTTTAAACATTGGCCCCTCATTCTAGATCCTCCCAAAATAGGAAACATTCAATCCACACCCACCTGGTCAAGAACCCTCAGGATCTTGTGTATTTCAATAAAGTTGTCTTTTGACTCATTAAAATCCAGTGGATACAAGCCTCTAACTACTGCACCATAATGTCATTAATAACCGATACGAGATACGTGTTCATTTCAGTTGCTATCATGTTATCGTTCATTAACCTTATTTTTATATTTCCAGCTAATGTTCACTCATGTTAAAACTTTTTCCATTTTACAAGACCAAAAGAAAAAGTAACAGGGGTAGGACATTCAGCCAAAGATTGGGGCCTTACCTCTTCTGGGACACCAAGTCTCTTGGCTGGGATTTTTGGGATGTAACCTTTGAACAATTCAGGTCCCAGCTTCTTGTAATTGGCAACAGCTGTTTCTGAGAAAATGACTCCCTAAGTAATAAAAGGAATCAAGGGTTAAAGAATGGAGGAACTGACTTTCCAGCTGTTCCTGCTTTCAGTGAAATATGGAACAAAACCTTCTGTTATACATCAGGTTGCAGTAAAGTCAGAATGAGCAACAGCAAGAAACAGCAGAGAATCCGACATAGAGAGACTACTGAGATTGAGAAAGTGAGAGCCAGAGTTAAGGGGAGATGCTTTTGCTGGCAAGGTCAGTATTTGTTGCACTTCCCTATGGACCCTTGCTGGGCCATTTCAGAGCATCAACCACAGGCCAGGGTCTGGAGTCACATGTAGGCCAGACCAGGTAAGGATGGCAGATTTCCTTCCCTGAAGGACATTAGTGAACCAGATGGGTTTGGTGGCAATCATGGTCACAGTTACTGAGACTGACATTATATTCTGGGTTTATTAGCTCAATACAAATCTCGCCAGCGGCTGTGGTGGGATTTGAACATGTGTCCCTAGACCGTTAAACTGGCCCTCAAGATCACTAGTCCACGATACCAAAATTTTCCCAAAAATGGGCACTTAGCTGGTGCCATGCAAACAGGAATGCAGGATATATATCAACACCAGGATGTGAATAAACATACTGTGATGAGAGTTTATGTTCCTTTCATTTGGTAATTTAGGTTATAAATTGGATGTAACTGGGTTTTTGGTTGTCAGTTCTGTGAGGGCAACTTGTGTATTTTTAAGGGTCAGAACTCTTTTTTTCAGAGTTTAATTCAGATAAATGTGGGGTGCTGCATTTTAGAAAGGCAAATCAGGGCAGCAGTTATATACTTAATGGTAAGGTCCTGGGGAATGTTGCCAAACAAAGAGACTTTGGAGTGCAGGTTCATACTTTCTTGAAAGCAGAGTCGCAGGTAGATAGGATACTGAAGAAGGAATTTGGTACACTTGCCTTTATTGGTCAGTGCGTTGAGTATAGGAGTTAGGAGGTCATGTTGCGGCTGTACAGGACATTGGTTAGGCCACTATTGGAATACTGCATGCAATTCTGGTCTCCCTGCTATAGGAAGGATGTTGTGAAACTTGAAAGGGTTCAGCAAAGATTTACAAGGATGTTGCCAGGGTTGGAGGGTTTGAGCCATAGGGAGAAGCTGACTTGACTGGGGCTATTTTCCCTGGAGCATTGGAGGCTGAGGGGTGACCTTATAGATGTTACAAAATCATGAGGGGCATGGATAGGGTAAGTCGACAAGGTACTTTCCTTGTGGTAAGGGAGTCCAAAACTAGAGGGCATAGGTTTAAGGTGAGAAGGGAAAGATTTAAAAGGGACCTGAGGGGCAACTTTTTCACACAGAGGGTGGTGCATATATGGAATAAGCTGCCAGAGGAAGGGGTGGAGGCTGGTACAATTGCAACATTTAAAAGACATCTGGATGAGTACATGAATAGGAAGGGTTTAGAGGGATATGGGCCAAATACTGGCAAATGGGACTAGATTAATTTAGGATATCTGGTTGGCATGGACGAATTGGACCGAATGGTCTATTTCCATGCTATACAGCTCTATGGCCCTATAATTAGAAAATCA